CAATGGGGAAGCTCTGCAGTAAGCATTCAACTAAAATAAAACTTTTAATAAAACTGTTTAATATGGCGAAAATGTTTAGATAAGTTAACCATGCATTCCTGTAGTTCTCATTGTGTGCTACAGGGTGATATCACTTACTTTTACTACATAGTTTTACTACATCGCCCATAGCATCCAACCAGAACTGCAGACATGCTTTGTTGTCTAAATATTTTCGCCACATTAAACAATTTTATTAAAAGATGTTTTATTAAAATGTTTAACACGCCCAGTTATTGGGCCGTCTACAACCAGGCTTAACATAGTATTGAATGGAGTGTGCCAATGTAGGTAGTACCGTTGAACTAAGGGTATTACCAATAATAAGAAAGCTTCGGTTTTATAGGGGGGTACTTTACAGTTTACCGTACCTGTGTACTGCAAGTATTTGATGGCATGTGTTCGAGTTTACCTGTTCTTTTATCGTGTGTTTTGATGGCGTATGTATTCAGTGATTTACTCCAGTACGGTAAAGTGTAAAATTTCCTGATAGGGATACAACTATGTGAAAATGTAAGGAGATGTTTCAGACGAAGACCCTTTTACTAACTTCTTGACGAAGGGCCTTTGCTCGAAACATTGAAGTCCTTGTATTTTTCAAGTATTTTTGTATTCCTAACAATCCAAAGTTTCTTAACATAATAGAGAGGTCAAGATTGACGTTTATGGCAGACCGGCATATGACGGCTAAACGCTAACTTCAAATCGTATATTGAGATAAGCTGTAAGCTGTTCAAAGTTAGGACAATTTGTGCATTAAAATGGAAGAATGAATTGACTAAAAATGTGTTGAAACCTTTGGAAACTTGTAGAACTTACTTTCAAATGCGAATTGAAGTTTGCTGTTACCGGTCTGCCGTAAACGTCAATCTCAACATCTCTAGTATTACATTTAATCTCATTGTGAAATTGTTTTTAAAATGCTATTTATAGAAGTCTTAAGATCTGCTTCAGTCATCTTCAATTTTGCCTCTAACACTGTCTGCATTGTCGTAATACTCTCATAAACTGCCCGGAACGCTTCTCGATAGCTGTCCTTAATGCCCTCTAGAGATTTTTCCAATGCTCTCTTCTGGTTTGTTTTCAAATCATCAATCCTTGTTGTCAAGCCTTCGTAATTTATGCTCGTCGTTTCTTTCATTTGAAGTAAATCTGCATCGAAAACTGAAAACCTTTTGTTAACCCCTTCTTTCCAAGATTCCTGATTCTCCACAAATTGATCGAAACGAAGCTCAAAATTTTTGAGAGCTTGCAAATAATTGTCTTCGAATTCTTGTCTCGAATATTCATTCCCATCTGACCGCTGGTTTTGTTTCCCCATCCTTTCATTCCATTTGTCTGCTATTTCAAGACCTCGCTCCAGGGTGGTGACCTTTGAATCGAGTTCAACTTTCAGTACTTGAAAATTTTTCTCAAATTCCAAGCTAGATTTTTCCACTTTCGTACCCAAACTCTGAACATCTTTAGATAACTTTTCAAGGTTTTCTTTCGAGCGTTCTCGGCCTCTTTTCAAATCTTCGACATCGCCAGAAAGTTTGTTCAAATCACCAGATAACTTGATAGTGTTTAAGTCACCAAGAGTGAGCCTGTTCCAAACATCACCTATACCAGAAACCTGATGCATTTCAAGGTTTTTTAAAGCCACATTTTGGGAATGAGCATTACTTTCCTCTGATTTCAACTGCTGTTGTAAGGCTGCCATATCTTTGCTTAATCTTTGTAAGTTAGACACTAAACCCCTCACATGCTCTTCTAGTATATTCCGTTCCCGCCTTTCCGTTTCCAATGACCTTTCTGTGAAATCAAGCCTTTCTAAAATGTACTTGTTGAAATCGTCATCCTGATCTCTTGAGCTGATCCGGCCGAAATCTGACCCCATATTTTCATGGCTAGTTCTCCGCAATTCCTTGTGCTTTTGGTCCGTTTTAATGCGAGGAAGTACAACTGATTTTGAGTATCGCGAGCTGCTACGCGAATTAGATGAAAGATTATCCATTGAGATGTATTTTAACTTTGTACTGGATGTATTTTATGTCGCTATTGTTATGTACATTTCATTTTTGTAAACAAAACCATCCCAGACATGTGATCCAACATTTATAAGCGAGAAATACACACAAATCTTCACCGATTTTGTACGAATAAACAATTAAACCACATAACACATCTATAATTTCTTCCAAATTTTATATTTTTCGTAAATATCTTGCATTTTTTCGTCAAAAAACTCGTTTGTATGAAAAACACAGTACTAGTTGACAACGCAACAAAAGGTCGAAAGGTCAATCGATATAATTTGATGTTACATGAAGTATTCGGCTGAAACTTCCGGAAATTTCCTATGAGGAAAATTATTTAATTGAGAATGATTCGGTTTTATATTCTATTTATTTTGATCTTAATCCTTATTTGTATTACTCTTGAACCCACTGGCTTTCTGAGGGGAGCTTAGCTCGACTTTAAACAACGTCTGTGTTTATTTTGCGAAGATAAATAGGGCAAATGACATCAATGTACATTAAGGAATATAGATGTTAATAATTAATTTTGAGTGGCATACAGTCAAAAACTAGCAAAATAAAACACGTATTGAACCTGTAAAAACAAATAAAACGTAAATCCATATAAGATTGCAACTAGGGACTATATCTGTTAGGTTGATTTTATACGTGTATGATTAAAAGCTCATTAAAATTAAATAAATTGATCTGGAAAATTCCGCGCCAAATGCTTGAAATTTTTTCCAAACGTTCTAATTTGATTCTTCCACGTTACTTCCTGTCACGTGCCGATGCCAATTCCGGCAGGAGGGGAGGTGTAACCACAGTTCTGATCATACTATGATTTATTTATTTTCTTCGAATTTCCCTCCGATTTTACACAAAAGAAGCAAGTTTTAGGACGGCCGATCGCTGCGAGCATTTGAAGAGAACACTGCAGATTTTCGATCTCTTAAAACCGAGGCAAAATGTCGAACAACAACGATGTAATATACTGCGAAGACAGACACATCATGCATGAAGATGGTATGTAAGAATTAATACGCGTTCTAGTGGGTACACTAGCTAATAATTTACTGCCCTAACCGATCTCGTTTGTTTGCATAGATGAAGATTTTCCCGAACGTGTCTCGGGAAACGAAATGGACGAGCAGCGAAAACAACAAATGGCATATCAATACTTATGTCATCTCGAAGAGGCGAAAACGTAAGTGAGATTTAATCACACATTGTATATTTGAAGAATGTGTGAAACTATGGCTAATGGTGTTTACATTTAGATGGATGGAGGCCTGTTTGAACGATGAATTGCCCCCGACAACGGAACTCGAGGAAGCTTTGCGAACAGGAGTAATTATGGCAAGATTGGGCAACTTCTTCGCATCGGATGTCGTTCCCGTTCGTAAAATATACGATCGAGAATTGAAACGTTTCCAGGTGAGTTTCGAAATATATTTCAGGCATTTTCAACTTAGAATACTTCCACGCAAAGCCGTGCGGTTTGATGGTCTGATCAATAATTTAGACTTTCAGTGGAATTTATGTTGATTTTCTATTTCACAGGCGCGCGGATTACATTTCAAGCACACCGATAATTTTATGTACTTTGTACGTGCAATGGAAAAGGTCGGCCTTCCCAAGGTATTTCAAGTATTTTTAAACTCTTTTAAACACTTGATTCAAGCATTAATATCACAGTTTTATGTCATTTGATAAGTTCGCTAGTTGCCTTAATTTGCGCAAGAATCCCGCGCTAACATTTGATAGTTATTAACGAAATTATATTTAGAGTCGGCGTGATGATTTAATGACATTCTCATAATATAATTCCAGAGCTTTCCTGTGTTTATTTAGCACTCAACTCTTGTTTTCCATATTAATAATGAGGCGCTTTATTGAAATATCGCAGCTTTATTTCTTGATATGCAAACTATTAAATATAGATATGTAACAGACTTTATGATCTTACAGTATTTAATAATCGTATAATTAGAATGATTAAATTACATGTGAAAAGTGGTAATTATTTTTTTAGACTAATAGGGTAATAATGATCTGAGCTATGAGCTTTTTTGAATGTGAAGCTTTGACCCAACTATATATGTAAAGATCGACCCCTGGAGCACGCTTGGCTTATTTATATTAGACATTAAGTCTTGGTGTTTCAAATGTTACGGGTGACCAATTAAGACCTGTATCAAAACATATTTGCAAAATTTTAACTATGATCTACTGTATATAGGAGCACAAAGTGCTAATAGGCTTATTGTGGATTGCAATGGTGCATTGTATAAAAAATTTGTATTGTCGTCACTCCCACAGATGTGTGTGACCGCACCTACATATTTTTGCATGTTTACAATTCTAGTTTTAACCCATTGAGTGGCAGCACTCTTCTGTTCATGAGTAAAATCGTCTGGTGTTAGACATAGTACAAATAATAAAGTGGGGCATGTCAGGGCACATTGCCACTTAAAGGGTTAACAGGATGCATGGGCAGATTAACCCATTGAGTGGCAGCACACTCTCCTTGATGAGTAAAATTAGCTGCAGGCTTTAGACATAGTAACTTAATAAAGTAGGGTGCATCTGGGTGCATTGGGGTTAAATAGCCAATCCAGTTCTTGGTAACAATCACTATGAAACATCGATTGGCTGTTTAAAATTTGAATTGTAAACATGCAAAAATATGTAGGTGTGGTTGTAGATGTTTGTGGGAGTATTAGTCATAGCAATATATATTTTGATGTGACGCCACTGTTCAGTGAGATCTATAATAATTGGCTAATGCATTTTTATGCTTGCCCTTGCTTAATTCCCACATTTTTGGGAAGACACAAATGGAACCGAGATGTTATTATGGAAGTGTGTTATTTGGGTGGAAATGGACAAAAACATGTGAGAGCCTCTATTTGAATGTAAAAATGACATTACATTTTCTATTGTAGCTGTTCTACCCTGAAACAACAGATCTTTATGACAAAAAGAACATGCCTAAAGTGATTTATTGTATACATGCTCTAAGGTGAGATGGTTATGACAAATTCACAATTCAAATTCACAGAATATAAAAACCTCCCAAGAACAAATTTTTAACCATTGAGGTTCTTGCTGAGAAGTTGTTTTAACATTTCTATTAAAACTTTTAGTTTATATTTATTCAAACTTGGCTTGGCTCCTCAGATGCAAGATCTCTATGGCAAAGTTAAATTTACAGGTACTAGGAGATTTTTTTCTGTAATAATCAGAATATCATAATTGTTTGATATAATGCACTACATCCATTATTGCTACACTACATGTGAGACAATTGTTTCAGCTTGAAGCTGGCAATGACTTAACTATAAATAGGATCACATTGACATTGTCAACCTTTAGTTCAAATTAAACATGTATCCGGAAAGTATATCACCTTGGCTATAGAGTATAGAGCCTCGTTTTCGTGATTGAGAGGTTGGGATTTAACTGATGTCACATGCACCAAAATCCATAATATATACAATTTCCATAATTAGAGGAGGAAATCAGTGCAATGAGGAAGGAGCTGGAAAAATATGGCATTCAAATGCCAGCGTTTAGCAAGATTGGAGGAATTCTGGAGAGTGAGGTGGGTTGCATATGTTGTTGTTTTCTTAATTTAACCCAAAATTGTGTGCCGTTAGACAGAGTAAAATAATAATGTAGGGGGCATCTGGGCACATTGCCACTTAAAGGTTTAACAGGGTCCATAGGCAGATAGTCTGATTAACCCATTGAGTAACAGCACTCTCCCTAAAATATGACACATCTGGGCACATTGCCCAGAGAGAATTGGTATTATCTAAATAATGGGAGGTTATTTAATTAAGTATCTTAGTAAGAATTGAGCCGTAGGAATGTTGTCCCAAACTCTTAATTTCTTGATCATTATTGACAAATTTTTTTATGAATTCTACTTTTTTGTTATCTAGATGCCTGTTGACGAAGCAGCTTGTAAGTTACGATATCAATATGAATTACGATATAAAATGAATGTTGTACAAATTTGTATAATGTACAGGGTGTGCCCCCTCCCCCTCTATTTGGGCAGCTGACATGGAACACTTGCCCCTGTTGCTCTTCACTAGTAGGACCAGCTAAGCACTTCTTAGAATGATGCATTGCTTTATTCCTAAATTGATATTTATCCGAAAAAATACAACAAATGCAAACCTGATGGTTCAAAAATGCAAAATTAGTGTTAACTTTACACTACTTTGATGAAGAAGCAAATCTACTTTGTCTAGAACTCTCATTTTCAATGCCTTCACTGCATGAGGAAAGAATTAGCCCTGAACTTCTTGGGGCACCCATCTTTGCAACCCTCAATAGTTTCCAGAGATTATTCATATATTTATACTCTATGATTTCTTATTTTTATAGTACATGCTGCCATCATTGTCATCAATGAAGCCATCGACCACGGCATTGCTAAGGAAACATTTGAAGCATTGAGAAACCCCAATGCTCATCTGACGGACCTTGACGTCAAGAACATGGACGAATACCAAGATCTGTTGTACAAAGCGAAGGGATCGAAATGTCAAACTGCTTTGCTCAGGGTTAGTGAGTATACACTATGCATGCTACATACAAATTCTTGCAGTCTCTAATACCCTTAAACTCTCTTGAAGAGGACGCAATGAAAAGAAAATCATGCACTAGCCAATTTGCTATTAAATGGTCATAGATATCTCAACCTTGAATTTCCTTGAATTTGGAAACAAAAATTCAAGGCCTTGCATGAATATCTCATGAGAGTTTGTGAAGAAGTACTTGAATACCCTTAAATTCTTCTTGCTTTAGTTTATGGATATTTTCTGAAATTGTTTGACATTCAAAACAAACATTTTGTTGAATTTATTTTGCATGCTACTGTAATATCTAACAAAACTTTTCGAAATTCATTAAGTTGCGCCCTTTTCAAACAATTCAACTTAACATTTTACTGATTTGTAACGCCCACTCTCCAGTATTTAGTCCTTGAATTTGCTGATACATGGCCCTGAAAGTCCCTGAATTTGACTCTTCCTAACATGTACGGACCGTGGAGGAAGTATAACTCTACAACAATTAGCTGCTGAAGTGTGTGTCTGAATTTAAAAAGACCATTGCTCAAAGCATCCAAGTATTTTGAAACTTGGCAAAGATCAGAGCTGCTTATAAAGTAGTATTTCTGCCACTTTAAAGTTATGTACTTTGCAATACAAAGCTCTATACCGTACATACATACATTGCATTTTTTCTGTATAGTCGCCAGGAAGCGAAGATGTTTATGACAAAATGTTGACGCAAGCTGAAGTACAAGGAAACATTGCAATGGCGAACGAAATTGTCCGCAAGAAAGACCTCGATAATGCTGGTAAATTTCGTTTTTTGTGCGGTTGTCAAGCCAATCATTTGTCTCTAACATCGTCATAAAACTTATCAACCGTCAAGATGAACTAGCTATGTAGTATATGCAACGGTAAAAACGCACAAGTTGTAACAAACCTGCAACAGACTTATAGCAATGCTGTTCCAACTACTTGTCAACAGGATGTGTTCGCACTGCTTGTTCCCAGCTTGTTGACAACTTGCTACAAGGTTGTTGAGCTCAACAGACTTGTTACAAGTTGTTCCAACAACTTGTTATCGTTCCACAATTCAACAATTTGTCAACAAGTTGCGAGCGACAACCTTGTAGCAACTTGATAAAATAACAGCATTGTTACAACTTGTTGACAAGCTTGCGACAAGCCTGTTGCGAACACATCTTGTTGACAAGTTGTGAGATTTTTACGTGACTGTGCAGTTCGTCAAGCCTTAAAATATCGCTCAGAGAACCGTCTGACAAAATGTTCGATTTGGGTTCGGACATATGTATTGTGATGTCCGACGATATTGAGTTCAGTTTGGCTTGGAAATAAGTATGAATGCAGACGCAAATTAATATCAACACAATTTGGAAAAGTCATTTGGATCTTGGCAATGAATTTCCGAACCTCGCGGTGAAAAACCCCGTATTTGTTTACACATTTCCAATTCACTTTTTATACATTACTCTGATTTTCCATTTAACATGCGAACCTCTAGTCCTGGACTAGGGTACACTTTGATTTACGTTGGACGAAGTTCCAGTTTGGTCGGACACCAATTAGCCTTTCTCACGATCGATTTTCCGCCATTTTGGGGTCCTACGTTCGGTCCGCACTACGAAATACAACTTTTTAGTATTGTACTATTGTAGTTGTTTGTATAATGGTAAATTCACAGTTACAACTTTTAAAAGTCGCCTTTCACGTTGTTTGAATTGTCTAGAAACTTTCACGAGGGCAGGCAGTACCCCCAAAATGGCGGATTTTGGTCTTTGTGAGAAAGGCTAATGATAGACTGGAGTGTCGAAACGTTGGGTCTTGATTACAATTCGACTGGGCTTTGTAATAATTTATTTAAACCAGAGTAGCGAGCGAAACATGATTGATATACCTGGTTGCAGTGGAAAGAACAAACTTTAAATACACCTAGGTCAGACAAAATGTTCACTGGTTTCCTCTCTACGTCGGACAATTTCACGAATGGATTGGGCACTATATGACCGACCGATATTTTAAGGCTTGACCGTTTCTACTGCAAATTTGGCCAATAGTGTTTGAACTGTGGAGAGTTAATATGTCTACTTCATTCTTCAGTTGCAGAAATCAATGCAGCTGTTGATAGTGGAGATCAGAACAGACTGCTGAAGGCATTGTTAAACGATCGAGCGAAATTGAATAAAGTGATCGCAGAAAACGGCGATTGGTATCAACAGACATTGTCTGAAGTCAAACAGGGGAAGGTAGCTATGCATGCTTTAATCATATCAGATTTATTTTGGCTTGAGGAGTTTATAAATGTTTTCGTGTTTATTGGCGAGTTTCAATCAGTGAACTCGATTTATTTTACTTTACTTTTATTTTACAATAGAAGACACCGAGTTCACTGGTTTCATTAAAGGGAAATGGCAATATATTTTTTATTTTCTCGTTTGAAAGAACATTTATAACCATATATACAACTCTTTTACCGTTTTTTCATATCTTGCTTACTTCTGCGAATATTTTAATTGAAAGAAATGAAATGTCCGCCATCTTGGATTTTTGTAGATATGCATGTTACGTCACAACAGGGGTCACGCAATATTTTTATCTAGACAACTACTAATCATTTTGCACTCAAAATTATACCCTGTATGCCCTTCCAAATACCAAGATCACTTGAAAACTTTAAAACATCTACCAATCAATATTTGGTCAGCAACGAATGCTTTTATATTGTTAATCCCTGTTGTGACGTCACCAAAACTACCGTTAATGAATTAAAAATTTATCCAAGATGTCTGACATCTCATTATTTCAAGTGAAAATATTTCAAGAACTAAGCAAGATGTGCAGAATAGGTAAAATAAGTTATTAAATAGTTTCAAAAGTTCTCTCAAATGAGAAAATAAAAATATATATTGCCATTTCCCTTTAAGTGATACTGCTACTTATAATGAAAAGAATTCACATTATTTTCTCACTCTGATAACTGCAGGTTAACCACCATCAGCTGTACGATACTGCTTCTACCGAAACCCACATTTGTACAGTATAATGATGATGCTTGTTCTTTTTATAAATTAGGGGAACGTACCATTAACTCACGCTGAAATTCTAGAAGGAATAATCAATGCGAACACAATTGGAGAACAATTCAAAATTTGTAAGTTTTTAACATTTGCCATGATTTCTGTTTGAAGGAACTGAAAAAGATTAAAACAATTTGCAGGATCGCGGGTTCCATTCTTGCCAGAGGACCTAGTGTTGAAACGCCAGAACTCACTTTACAAATGCCAGAACTCCCTTTTCAAAAGGCAGAACTTGGTTTTTTAAATGCATGAACTACCTTTTCAAATGGCAAAACTCCCTTTTCAAATGGCAAAGCTTTTCAAATGACAGAAATTGCTTTTCAAATGCCCGAACTACCTTT